AGGACTTCCCAGGAGGTCACCCATCCTAGTACTACTCTCGCCCAAGCACGCTTAAATGCGGAGTTCTGAAGGGATCCAGTGCATTTGTGCTGATATGTTCGCACCCGTCCACTCCCCTCCTCCTTCCCCCCTTATACGTCACCCCGCGCGCCTCTCCCGCCCGCCTGGCCAGCTCCCGACGCCGAACGCAGGGAAATGCGGGCCCGGACCCCTCGCCGTCGCCCCGAACGCCGGGAAACACGGCATTTTGGCCGGACGGGCTTCCGCGTGCCCTCCCCGGCCCGCAACTTCCGATCCGGGAGGCGGGGTTGCCCGACGGTCAGCCCCCTCCCCGAACACTCGTCCAGAACTCCGCGCAACGAGAAGCCCGACGTGCTCCTCATTCCCAGGCGTCCACGCTGTCGGCGGGAATACAACAAGAAAGGAGCCGTCGATCCGACGAAAACAATAAAAAATTAAAATATATATAATTTAAATAGTGGAACACTCTGCGCGCTGAGCAAAAAGGTGGGGTGCAACACGAGGACTTCCCAGGAGGTCACCCATCCTAGTACTACTCTCGCCCAAGCACGCTTAACTGCGGAGTTCTGATGGGATCCGGTGCATTAGTGCTGGTATGATCGCACCCGTACACTCCCCTCCTCCTTCCCCCCTTATACGTCACCCCGCGCGCCTCTCCCGCCCTCCTGGCCCGCTCCCGGCGCCGAACGCAGGGAAACGCGGGCCCGGACCCCTCGCCGTCGCCCCGAACGCCGGGAAACACGGCATTTTGGCCGGACGAGCTTCCGCGCGCCCTCACCGACCCGCAACTTCCGATGCGGGAGGCGGGGTCGCCCGACGGTCACCCCCTCCCCGAAACCTTGTCCAGAACTCCGCGCAACGAGAAACCCGGCGTGCTTCTCATTCCCAGGCGTCCACGCTGACGGCGGGAATACAACAAAAAAGGAGCCGTCGATCGGAGCAAAACAATAAAAAAAAAAATTTCACAAAGGAACTCGTTGCGCGCTGAGCAAAAAGGAGGGGTGCAACACGAGGACTTCCCAGGAGGTCACCCATCCTAGTACTACTCTCGCCCAAGCACGCTTAACTGCGGAGTTCTGATGGGATCCGGTGCATTAGTGCTGGTATGATCGCACCCGTCCACTCCCCTTCTCCTTCCCCCCTTATACGTCACCCCGCGCGCCTCTCCCGCCCTCCTGGCCCGCTCCCGGCGCCGAACGCAGGGAAACGCGGGCCCGGACCCCTCGCCGTCGCCCCGAACGCCGGGAAACACGGCATTTTGGCCGGACGAGCTTCCGCGCGCCCTCCCCGACCCGCAACTTCCGATGCGGGAGGCGGGGTCGCCCGACGGTCACCCCCTCCCCGAAACCTTGTCCAGAACTCCGCGCAACGAGAAACCCGGCGTGCTTCTCATTCCCAGGCGTCCACGCTGACGGCGGGAATACAACAAAAAAGGAGCCGTCGATCGGAGCAAAACAATAAAAAAAAAAATTTTCACAAAGGAACTCGTTGCGCGCTGAGCAAAAAGGAGGGGTGCAACACGAGGACTTCCCAGGAGGTCACCCATCCTAGTACTACTCTCGCCCAAGCACGCTTAACTGCGGAGTTCTGATGGGATCCGGTGCATTAGTGCTGGTATGATCGCACCCGTCCACTCCCCTTCTCCTTCCCCCCTTATACGTCACCCCGCGCGCCTCTCCCGCCCTCCTGGCCCGCTCCCGGCGCCGAACGCAGGGAAACGCGGGCCCGGACCCCTCGCCGTCGCCCCGAACGCCGGGAAACACGGCATTTTGGCCGGACGAGCTTCCGCGCGCCCTCCCCGACCCGCAACTTCCGATGCGGGAGGCGGGGTCGCCCGACGGTCACCCCCTCCCCGAAACCTTGTCCAGAACTCCGCGCAACGAGAAACCCGGCGTGCTTCTCATTCCCAGGCGTCCACGCTGACGGCGGGAATACAACAAAAAAGGAGCCGTCGATCGGAGCAAAACAATAAAAAAAAAAATTTTCACAAAGGAACTCGTTGCGCGCTGAGCAAAAAGGAGGGGTGCAACACGAGGACTTCCCAGGAGGTCACCCATCCTAGTACTACTCTCGCCCAAGCACGCTTAACTGCGGAGTTCTGATGGGATCCGGTGCATTAGTGCTGGTATGATCGCACCCGTCCACTCCCCTTCTCCTTCCCCCCTTATACGTCACCCCGCGCGCCTCTCCCGCCCTCCTGGCCCGCTCCCGGCGCCGAACGCAGGGAAACGCGGGCCCGGACCCCTCGCCGTCGCCCCGAACGCCGGGAAACACGGCATTTTGGCCGGACGAGCTTCCGCGCGCCCTCCCCGACCCGCAACTTCCGATGCGGGAGGCGGGGTCGCCCGACGGTCACCCCCTCCCCGAAACCTTGTCCAGAACTCCGCGCAACGAGAAACCCGGCGTGCTTCTCATTCCCAGGCGTCCACGCTGACGGCGGGAATACAACAAAAAAGGAGCCGTCGATCGGAGCAAAACAATAAAAAAAAAAATTTTCACAAAGGAACTCGTT